GATATGTGGATTTCACAGGGCTTATGCTAGTAGAAGCCGACAGCTCACCCGTGTACCCCAGCGGTCGACATTCTCAAACACAGAGAGCCCAGGGCCCCGCACCACGGGCACGACCAACATTTCTAGGTGTGAGAATCACACTCCCACACCTCTTCCCAGTATCAACAACTGACAAACATCTGTAAAATTATATGTTCATTTTTCTACATAATAACACTTTCACATTAGGGTGTTAATAGTTGACCTTAATCCTTAAAAAGGAGCCATATCATTAAAATAGAGAACCTAATGTGAATATCCCTAACTGTACATCTAAAACTTTGTATAAATATAACACGATTTCCACTTTTTCCATCATGGGGAAAAGTACTGTGCACGGCTGCAGTCATCTTCCTAACACTCTTCCCAACAACCTGTACCCATCCAGCTCCTCGGCCCTCGTGGACTCAGCCTGTTCTCCTGGCCAGTGCAGCCTCGCCCAGGCCCCAGCATCCCCTTACCTCAGAACAAAGCGGCTCTGTGAGGTCGGGAAGGGCCGGTTGGATGTGGCTATCAGACAGATGGTCTCTCCCCGTTTAGAGAAGATAAAATGCTAAAGGAGAAAAATTAGAGTGGTGTTTTGTTGTAAACCAAAGGAGGCTATGAATCCCATTGGCCTCAGGTTGGAAACCTCGTGACATGGGACCAGGCACATGTGACCTACTTTTTGCCCAACTCCCCTCGTTCTGTTGGAGGGGTGCACCCGGCACGGATGCGCTGTCATTTCAATGACTCCTTCCCCCAAACAGGGGCCACTGCACAAATCGGCATGCCTGCAGGACACCGGCCGCAGCAACTAAGCCCTGTGCTGCTTCCCTGTGGAAGGGAAGCGTGGGTGCGGGCAAATACCTCAGGGCCCAACACTAGTCACAACACAGCTCTGAAGATCTGAGCTGTCATTGCCACACTGGCTCTCTGCCGTGCACGGGCCTCGCACCAAGTTGGTCCTCTAGCACACGGGGGCTTGGTCCTGGGACTGCAGGATGAGGCTCCTCCGCACCAGGACGAGGTGCCTGAGATGGCACAAACTGCAAATCCTCTCCTTTCCCCATCTTCTTCTTTGTTTGATCTAGAGCTTCTAGGTCCAGCCCTAAAAGCAAGCCGCACGCAGACTTAGAAAGGCTGAGCACTGTGTCCTTGAGAGCCATCCTGATGCTAGGTCTCTGACCTGGGCAGCGCAGGATGGAAGGATGAATCCAGACCCTGGGAGAGAATGTGGAATGCACGCTGATCCACCCACCAGAACGGGTACTTCTGCCACCAAGCAGGAGAAAGCCGCCCCCCAGCTCCACCTTTCACTGAGTTATCACCTTTACCTTACCATCTCACACAAAATCAGATGCAGATAAATGATAAAAACACACAACAGGCAGTGGTCAAACTAGGACCACAGAGAGGAATCGCTGCCGTGAGGTCGGGTGTGCATTTTGCCAGAGGTACTGAGCTGGCCACTGCGAGAGCCCACAGAACGTGCTGTGGACTCCAACAGAGGCGCACAGAGAGAAAGTGGAGGCGTGAAGGTCTTACTACAAAGTCAGCCTGATTGTTCATTGCAGGAAAAAAAATGAAAAGTAACACAAGTATTGGAGGCTCATTACAGAAAAACATAGAAAATGCATACATGCAAAAAAAAACTCTGTAATATCATCACCCAGAAAGACTATCTGTGATAGTGGGCTACTTTGGGGTCTACCTACTCAGACTTTTTCCAGTAGGTATGTGTTATCATATTTTTTAACAAAAATAGAACCAAACCACCCATGTTTGTCCTGTTTTTCTTACTTAACGTTAAACACAAAATATTTTTCTATGTCAATATATTTAAAGCTACATAATAGCAATCAAATTCCCAATGACATTTTATTTTATGCATTCCATTTCATACACAAGAATGTAACTAATCTGCAATTGTATATTCTGATTGTATATTCTGGGTTTTTGAATTGTTATATTAACAATGTTTTAACAATAATCTTTGGGTGGACCTCATTCTGACCCTCTTATATCTTTGGAATATGTATTTATAGATATAATTTCTGGGTCGAAGGATACACATGCTTGAAGCTCTGGCACACAGTGACAAACTGGCTCAGCCAGCAGCACTTCCATAAGGAGGGGCCGTCCCTGCTCCCACCCACCCTGGCAGGCTCTGTCGTCAGTGCCCGACCGAGCATTGAGTGCTGGGGCCGTCAACACGTAGCACTGGGCAGAGGAGGAGGACACTAACAGCCAACATGAGGACAGCACTTGCTCTGTGTCTGGCACTGTCGGCTAATTCACTCCTCACAGCAGCTCTCTGTGTAGGATCTGTCCTTATTCCTGCTACGGACGAGCAGCACAGTCACTCAGGGCTTGCTCACACTCTTAAAGCTCGGGTCATCGAGGGCCTGCTGACCGACAGCATCAAGTGCCACTGACAGGGCGCTGGGGAGGACTGGACACTGACCTTCGGGTCTGGCGGGGGCAGGTCTGTGGACTTTGACAAGGCAGGTCTGGTGCAAGGTTAGCAAGCGGCACCAGCAAGGCCAGTCATCAAGGGGACAGATAGATGGGTGGTCGCTGCAGGTGGACGTGCCCACCTACCTGTTTACGTGTGGGTGGGAAGCAGAGAGAGAGAGAGCAAGGCAGCAGCCAAATCCTTGAAGAGGCGAGAGGGACAGGAAGCAGTACGCAGGAGGGACATGAAGGACCAGAGTCACCGGCTGAAGAGAAGGAGCTGAGGGTGTGGGGACCACAAAGAGGGCCAGGAAAGAAACTGAGGGACAGTGACATCCAGGGAGCCAGGGGCAGACAAGCCACCACCAAGCTGAATGCTACTGAGAGGAACTAGGCCAGGGTGAGAACTGAGGACATGACTTCAGGTTTCAGTTTCAGGGTGTAGGATGCATCGCACATGGGGAGGGGACAGGTGGGGAAGAGAGGAGAGGGACAGGCAAGGAACCATGCCCCATGAGCACCACACCTCCTGGATGGGGGTCGATCAGCACAAAGCACTCGGTGGCTTCGAGTTCACTGGAATGTGTTGGGCAAAGCGGTTGGGCACTCCCTAACGGTTGTGGGTTTTCTGTCTTAGTGGACCACCCATTACTTCTGCAGCCATGTCGCGTGCCTAACATGGGGTCAGACACTCAGACCATCGAGCACGGGAGAACCTGGCAGATGTAGCCAGGCAAACAAACAGTGCATGGGCTCCCCAGTGAGGATCCAGGCAGGCTGGAAAGGAGGCAGAGAGCCCAGTGTGGGGCCGCCTCGGCTCCTGGCTTAGGTGAGCTGCAGCCTGGTCTGGGTGTGCTCATGGCCAGTCCTCCACATGTGCCCAAAGAACCCCAGTCAGCCCGTCTGGTTTACATAACCGACCTCGCTCTTGACCATAGCCTGGGATGCGCCGCTCATGTGAAAGGAGCTGTTTCATTCAGCTTCCGTCCAAATCCAGCAGATTTCAAGTCTGCTGTGACCAGCACTGACATTCAGCCCAAATAGACACCTGGAGGTTGAAATGGTTTTAACAGTCTCTGTGCAAAGAAGAACAAAGCAAAGATCAAAACAACACAGGACACAGGCTTACGGAATTGGGTCAAGCACCACAGGATTAAAAATGCTGAGCTGCAATTAAAAAAAACAAAACTAGACAGACAACATTTGGGCAGGGCAGGAGAGAAGCTGGTACTGAGAAGAATGATGAAAAAATTCAGAAAGTCGGTGAGGGGCCTGGTGTCCCTTATTATTAAGTCTTGTGACTTTTTAAAGATGCACATGTTTCTCTGACAACCACCTGGGAGGTACGTTAACATAACATTTGTGTTGTGAATCTGGATTAATAAATTATAGAGCTTAACACATATTCTCAGTGGCCACCTTTGTGGCCCTAGATGAACAAAGCACCTTAGAATGTACTCAAGGCATTGGCGATGCCCTCGTAACATAAAACACATGGATGGATAAACCATAACTGGGCTGGAGCTGACCGAGGCATGTGAGCCGTGGAAGGAACCTCTGAGGCCTTAATTTACAAGTGAGAAACTGAGGCCAAACAAAGTCAGTACTACAGGCTCAGAACCTGTGAGGCCCACCAGGGGGAACCCAGGGCTCAGGGTCCTGGAGCGCAAAGCAGCACACAGAACAGATAGACTACTGCATACATTCCTGCACACATGCACACATGGTACCGCATACAAGCACACAGCACACACGCTCCTGCACACAGAACACACATACTACCACACACACTCTTGCACACATGCTACTGCACATGCTCCTGCACACAGAACACACATGCTACCACACATGCTCCTGCACACAGCACACACACTCCTGCACACATGCTCCTCCACACATGCACACCTGCTCCTCTATCCGTGCACACATGGCAGGACTGTCAGCAGGGCCAGGCCAGCATGCAGTGCTTAGCACAGGGCCCTGCCTCTGGCTGGTGCTCATGTACAGAGGAGCCAACAAACAAGCTGACAACAGACCCAGCTCTCCAGATTCCCCACCCGGTGAGTGTTCTTTACAAAATGGCGGAAGAGGGCCTGGAGGGGTAACAAGGGGGAATACTCAGGGAAAAATACTTCTAAGGGTTCCCATGCTCCTCAAAATTCAAGGGAAAAAGCCACGGAGAAACATCTCTGCCTCAGCTTAGACCTGCTTCCTCAAACTTAGACCTGCTTCTTCAAACTCCAACTCAACTCAACGTGATTTTTCAAGAGTCAACCGGGAATGCGGTTCCTACATTATCACATTAGTGCATCGACTGCCTTTCTTTGTTAAACTTTCCCTTGTTTTCATCATCTGTCTTCTCTCCCTGTACTACTCCCCATTTGACACCATATCACAGACTGAAGAGGGTAAAGTACACATTGCACCACTTCAAACATACTTCATTTTCCAGAGTGAGCTTGACTTTGTCATATACATTCTTGGTAAACAAACAAGCAAATAAAAGATACTGGACAGGAACTCACCTTCCCCCATAAGCAGGCTCTTAGAGTCAGAGCAGATCCATAGATCACAAATGTTCAGACTTATGTAACTCAGAGCATCACAACCGGAACTGGTGCTTTATAGGAGGACTGACTTTGTCGTGGAGCCCCTACCTAAAACACAAAAACACAGGAGGATGAGCTTACAAATCTATGACCTTGCTCGTTAGGACTGAGCTTCAACAGACTCACTTTCTTGCATTCAATAGAGCAGTAAACATTTCTTAAGCATTCAAGGGTGAGGCAGTGCAGGCTATGGAGATGAGATGCCAGCAAGAACTCACCCTGGGATACCATCCTCTGTGGCCTGAATGAGGCCGCTCCAAAAACGAGGAGGCTTCCATTTGATAAATCCAAGGGAAGAGTTTTGGTAAAGCTGTATAAACTTTTGAGAATGTAAACAAACCAGTCAACTTTCTATTTATAATATTTAGTATATTTATATGCATATACACTGACTTTAAAATAACATTTATGAGGGCTGGCCCTGTGGCTTAGTGGTTAAGTGTGCGCACTCTGCTACTGGCGGCTCGGGTTCAGATCCTGGGCCTGCACCGATGCACTGCTTCTCCGGCCATGCTGAGGCCGCGTCCCACATACAGCAACTAGAAGGATGTGCAGCTATGACATACAACTATCTACTGG